ATCTTCCAATGAAAAGTAAATTTATACTCCATCTCCTCTTAGGCCTCTCTTGGGTAGACTATCCATTACGTGAAACCAAAGTTAAAAAAGTGTAAATACTTGCCATTGCTAAACCCCAAAAGGTCACCTTACTTGATATGGATGGTGGGTTATTGCTATTTTGAGGTCCTTGCTTGTGTTTATTAGACTTGGAACACTCTAGTCCTTGAAATGAAACATTTTCATCTGAATGTAAGGGACTGTGTTACAGTTACTCTTCTGGAAGGTGAGAGTGAGCGCCTGTCAGATAAATATGAACTCTGAAGAACTCTGAGAATGACTCTATAACATTTTTTCATAAGTATGTCCGAGATAGAAATATATCTATACGGTGCCATCTTTGAAAACAGTATTGCTTGTTTATGTTTGTAAGCAGCCATCTCCTTGATTGCATTGATTTCATGGCACAAGAGCTATCACAATGGGCTGGGAATTTGATTGGATAGGATTCAGCCTTCTGAAATCATTCTTTAGTAATTGACTGTAAAATGCTGGCCAGTCAGGAATGAACTAAATCAGCTTTGAATGCTGAATTTGGTCTGGACATGAAGGAATGTGCAAGTTGAACAAAATTGTTGATACTCCTTTTTGGTGCTGTTCTATCACTTTGACAGCTAGCTCCCCCTCTCCACCCCTTTCTGTTTAAAGGAATTAATCAAGATGGTCATGTAAATGTTCTCATTTACCAGACTATGATTTTAGTGAGGTTGTGAAAATTAATCCATTCTTTGTTTGTACTGCGGAATGTTTTCTCTGTTCTGGTGACTGCTGTTTTCTTTTTCTTGCTCTTGTAATCCTGGCAGGCGTCAAACAGTGCTTCCTATATTCAGGATGCCTTTCAGCTACTCTTACCTGTGCTGGAGATTTCACTCATTGAGAGCAAGACTCAACTGCCGCAGGCATGAGCTGCAGGCCCTGTGCCTTTGTTAGAACATTGAAGAACTGAGGAGATTCAAGCTGGACTAGTGGCATGGTCCGGAAGTGCCACATTCTATTGGATGGATACTCATGCAGAAGCCAGGAAAGGGTTAGTTTAGTACTGAAAGATTCAGGCAGGAGAGCAAACTGTAAAAGGAAAGTTGTTGCCTTCCCTGCTTAGGCTCTCAACACTACTGTTCCCAGTTGTTATAATTAAATATGAAAACATTCCTTTGTAGAAGGTCCAAAGATAACAGCTCTAGAGGAAGGTCAGTGGGCACTCAGGAAAGTGCTTTTCTTTCTTTGGTAGGGTGCACAACACTAAAATTTTGCCATGAATGTAATTGGCTTTTTTCCAAAGGAGAAGGAACGTAATTTGACATTATAGAATTCATATGCGTAGCCTATTATTGGCATCTAGATTCTCCGGTCTAGAAATAAAATCTATGCCTGTAAGAAATTTGAGTATGTATAAACTCTAATGATTGCTCTTTATAATGTGCATTTTTAGAAATGGTTATAGAGTTGCATCTGTTCTATTCTAAGCAAAGAGTTGAGAATAAGGAGGAAGTTGTAGAAGACTATATATGTAACCACATAAATTAACTATTGCAGCATGCCCTTGACTTCAAATAGCACCCAGCCCCCATCCTAGGGTGATACATCTCAAGTTATAGCTGACTCTCACCTAACTGGATTCAAGACCATTAAGTGGAACTTGTAAAAATGTCTTTTCAGATATTCTGTTTCTTCAGGATATTTTTCATGCATACCCTATATGCAGGATAAATTCTATAACAGCCAACTCCAAAGGAGTGTTAAAGTTCCTTTAGTAATTGGAGTTTTTATTGTTTGAATATTGTTGAAAAGGACTATGGAGTCCTATGGAAATTATGTTCCTTTGTAACAGAATCTAACCTATAAAACAATCTATTTAATCCTCATTCCCTTTTGTTTGAATGCATTGCTTAGTATATTTTTAGATGTAACTTCTATCCGTAATTACAGCCTTAAGCTTCTCTTGCTCAGTTCAACAACTTAAGAGACTAGTGAGGGGCTATCTTCCTAAAGGTT